TTATACTCTGCAAGAGCGGGAAAACTCGGACCATGTGACTGATGAGATAACATATGATTTATGAATTGGGAGGAGAAATATACAACACCCCGAGCAAAGACGACATCTAATTGGTCAAAACACCATTTGGGAGGTGTCCAAAAGCCCAGTTTAAATACTCAGGACACCATCAAATCACGCTCTTCTACTCTCTTCGCTCTTCCTCTTCTTTTTTTGGTCATGGCTTCTAGCCGTGCTTTGCAGTCATCGCTTTTTGCGCTCTTTGAGCGTGCTCTGGCTTACACGCCAGCTCCTCCAAAACCATGAGGAGAAACGCATTCTCAACACATTTTCATTCTCTTAAACTAATTATTTTCTCTCTTTCTCTCTTTCTACAACTTGTGTGAATGCGTGTGTTAGATTAGTTTATATGTCTTAGATTTATCCAATAAAGCCTTATTTATATTGAAAAGAGAAGTATCTTGTGTTTTGTGCTTACAAGTTAATGTCTTAAACTGCCGATCTTGTTACTGTGCTATTTAATAGTGTTTTCACTATATTTTGGATATTAATATCCATTGCAGAATTGATGTCATACGGCTCGTTCAATGAATCGCTGGCTGTCTCAGTGATCAGCCGTAAAACAGTGATTCTGTCCAAATTCCCTTTAAAATCTTAAATGATTCCCTTTGAGCTAAATTGACCTGTTTCCCTTACACAAAATATAGTCAGTGCAAGAATAACATACATTACATTTACATGATAGTAAATAGTCATTTTAAATAAAGTAAGGGACAACAACATGATGTCAAAATGTTTTTTTTTTTCAGTTTTCATGATGATTAGAACACTTGATTGATTATACTGCCATCAGTTTAACAACAACTGTCCAGCACATTGAGTTCAAATCTCTTACATTTACATGAAATCAATAACTATATCAAGATAAAAATGAACAATAAATATATAATGAATATAAACAATATAATACAAACATATTATAAACAAACAACACATTTAGTCACAAAATCACTCTCCAACCATGTTCAAACTGTCACAAAACTGACTTTCTAATACCCATATACACCTGAAACAAATAAATCAAATATGTCAAAAAGTCTGTAGATTCTCATCCAATCACGTTACAGATCAATTGCACTACAGTCCAGCGCATCCCCCACAACCGGAGTGCAATGGCCAAGCCTCACCCTGGGAGAACCATCTTCTTGATCATGGTGTCTCCCCTGCCAGGTAAGTATGTACTTGTAGTACATAGTTGAACAATGTGTTGATGTGAATAAGTACTTGTTCACATCAAGACTAGCAATGTGCGCTAATAAAGTAAATAAAGTCAATTTTGATTTCATGCGGACTTTAAGTGACTGGTGTGCTATTGAGATATGCTCAAAAATTGCCAGAGACTGTTTGTGAGTGGAAGCAAGCCGATCACACGGACAATTCCATTCATTACCGTTTCCTCGATTTTGTCAGGTTTTTGGACTACTTTATTTTAATTGTTTAATGGTTTTCTTTCTTTTTCTCTTTGAATGTTGGTTGTTATTTGAATATTGCAAATTGTACGGTAATGCTGGGTTTATATTTATGCTGCTTGAAATTAAATTTGCATTTGGAATGTGAGTAATGTTTACTGGGTTTTGATTTGATTCCTCTCCTTTCTGGTTTCTTTATTTGTAACTGGTGGTTTTACTGAGATATTCGAAATCTAATTAAATTGACAGGAGTTTAACCTTGTCTGGCGCCCGAACTTAAAGGGTTAGTTCACCCAAAAATGAAAATTAGGCTGCGTTTTACTCACCCCCTAGGCATCCTAGGTGTATATGACTTTCTTCTTTCAGACGAATCCAGTCGGAGTTATATTAAAAATTGTCTTTGCTCCGGGGGGGTGAACAGAGGCCTTCTGTAGCGAATCGATGCGTTTTTGAGAAAAATATCCATATTCAAAACGTAATAATCACTTGAATCTAGCTTGCGCTCACTGTTGTAAATGGAAGCAGTTCCGGGGGAATGACGTATGAGGTCAGCTTTGCATTCATTCATTCTACCAAGAGGGAACAGGTAAAGTTTTATCACAGGTTGAACTTGAATGCAAAATATTTCAATACAGGCATTTCAGTCAAATGTATTGTATGCAATATTTCAAACCTTTAACCCACTTGGGAAAATCAAACCATGGCAACAGTTTAAAAGTAGCCCAATTCTGTGGAAAAAAACGCGGTCTTGGCAACCCTGCATCCAACAAGAGCTACCGGAGTCAGCTTTGACTGATCACAGGTCGAGAATAAGGAGAGATGACTGACAAGACCATGCTGAAGTATTTGCTGCTCAACAGAT